ATTTTAGTGTGTACGATGACCCTGAGATCATTAACGATCTGTCCCTGGCGCGTCTTAAAGCCTTCCCGGGCAAAGGTGAGATGTATGCATGGATGGGTGGATGGGTGGCTGCTGGATGGTGGTCGGGGCGCGGGGGCTGCTGGTCCGTGTGTAGTGGCGGCGGTAGTACGGCAGCTCTTGGATGAGACTTCATAAGGCCCATCCGACCCCGTTCCAGCAGTTGGCGCTTTTAAGACGCCGACAGTTAAACCCCAACTAAGATTGATGTGCCTGCTGTGTTTGACAACTTCCCTTCTATGCAGAAAAGTGCAACATTTCTCTAAGACCTTGACATGGGCGCTTCTCTCTGTGTGTGGGGGGGGGGGCAGTTTTTTTAAAACCCCTCCCACATTCCACATCATTCCCGCCTTTCAAATATGAAACCCATGTTACACACGCACCATTCGTACACACGTTACATTTATGTGTGTGTGTGTTTCGCCGTCTCCCCTCGCCCGCGCCATCTAACCCCCCATCCATCCCGCATGACTTAAACATCGAAGACATATCACCCGGCCGGCTGAGGAGACTGGTCATTCCGTTGCGGGATGCGGCCAACCGACCGGTGGGTCCATCGACATTGGCGGCTCCCGTGCCGCTGCTTATAGACGAGAACGCGTACGGCAATTTTTTCGAGTTCCCGGCCATCAACCCACGGTGAGGTCTTGAAAGGGTGAGGTAGCGGATTTCCACATCGTCACTTCCGTACGATAGTCGTACACCTGTACGACGGGTCCCTGTACAGGTGTCGTACTGATTCTGGTGTCTGGGGGGTTGCAGGAAAACAGATGGAAGGAGTAGAAGGCGGAAGGACGGGGAGATGGACCTGTCTGCCCGTAACTTTATGTGAACGGTTTTATGTGACAGCTTAACTAACGTGATAAGGCGCATTACATGTGACGGCGTTATATTTTTGGTGTATTATTGTGTAGCCTGTGGAGTCCCCCTTGGTGTTCATCAAGTCATGAGTCTGTCGCCCTTCATTCATTCATTCATTCATTCCTCTTGCTGCCTTTTTGCCTTTGACTCTGCAGATTTCGGGGGAAGCCGTACAGGTACATGTACGGCACCGCTGCCATACGACCGACCAATATGGGCAACGCGCTGGCTCGTCACGACGTGGAAAAAGGGAACAGTATTGTGTGTTCCATACCGGGAAGCATGCCAGGTGGGTTTTGTTTAGGGTTTTACTTGGGTTAAAATCCTGGCCCTGCTCTTTCCTGCCCTCCTAGAACGCGCGTTCTTCCCCTTCCCTTTCCTGCCAGCCCCAGCCCCAGCTCCACTTGGGAGCCGGTCCTTCCCTTCGTGCATGTGATTCCCGTGTGAAGTCCGGGGGCCTGCTGACCGCGTACGAACGCGTTCTGGTTATCATAATCATAAGAGGTGCATCAGCATCAGGGAATATGTTGCTTCTTACCTCGTACCGCATCCATTCGCATCCATGTTGTTTTTTCCACCACTGTATGTACCCTTCGTTTACCTGTTCACCTCCTGTTTTTCTGACGAACTTCTGTTTTTCCGGCAACGGGAGATATTAGCTACCACCCGACGAAACCCCCCACTCGCAGGGCAGCCCATTTTTGTGCCGCGACCCGACGGGTCAACCGAGGATGACGGAGTGCTGCTGGCCCCGAAGATCATGCCGGGCGGGAGAAGCGTATTGTGTGTGTATGACGCAGCGGATATGAGCGGGCTGGCGAACGTGGACTTGCCGTTTAAGGTGCCGTACCGATTTCACGGCGCTTACGTGGCAGCGAAGGACTAAGCGTGCGTTTGGGGTCCTGGGTCCGCTTTGCGCCGATCGACACAATGTGAACCGGAACTTGTGAGGAACAAGGTGACTTGTTGTTAAATAAGTGGGAGGATTATATTACGTGCATTTCACGATCTCACAATTTAACGATATATATAACAAAGGGGGGCGTTTTACCGTTTTCTGTTTTCCGGCTGATCCTGTATTTGTTAAAGGTTTCTTGTGCTGCCAAACCAATTTAAGAAAATCTCTTGATTGTGAACACGGCAGGTTGTGTACATGTATGAAAGCGGTGATAGGAAAAATAGTTTGCTGTCTGTATTTGCCTTGTTGCTTATGTGTGGGCTTTTGCGCTAAGTCCAAATAAAAGATAGACTATTTATTTATGTTGAGATTGTTTGTCAAACCTTTAGTCTGTGGCTGTGCTGCTTGTTGGAGTCTGACAGTCTGCTGGTGTTCTGCGGTTTCATCACGTCGCTGCCACCCGCCAAGGATGGCCACACGGCCGTTTGCGTCTTTGTCGACATTTGTTGACAAAATTCTTCATGTTCGTCGTGCCGACGCACGACCAAATCACTATGATCCTTCAGGTCGCATAAATTTTGCGTGATGAAATATCTCACCTGCGAACATGGCTCTGTATCGACTGACTTCCTACTGTCTGATCGTGACCCGCGGTTCACTGTGTAAGCAATGCGCAACACAGCCCAGCAACTGCACTTCAAAAAACAGCTGCTCTCCACGTCGTTCCACCCTCACCACTTTAGGAAAAAAGTATTAGCAGTAAAAGAGAAGGAGCAAGATTTGGAGGTAACATAGACGAAGTCGGTAGCAATAGGTTAAGAGTTGTTGGGCTACTATACTTGCTACCATGGTTGCTACCAGGGTAAGTGGAAGTGTATTTTAAAACGGGGTAGCTGGTTCTTATAAAAACGGATGGACTAACTGAGCGAACAGTGAATCGCGTCCTGCAAGAGATTCTACGCAATTATGTAGGGGGCCGGAACTCACCGACCGGCTGGGGGCCGAACACTGGGCCGAACACCTACACACACAGCGGATGGCGGAATTCACCATCAACAACAGCAAATGTGAAGCCACGGGCTACGTGCCCTTCTACCTTGTGTGTAGCTGCCATCCACGAATGCCGGACGACTACGGGCTTCCACTCAAAATGAAACAGTCGACAAACTGCAGTCGACAAACTCGCTGACACCCTCCACGCTGTCTCGAAAAGGCCCCAAAAGCCCTACATGCCGCTCAGCAACAACGGCAGGCTCAGCATTCCAACAAGCATCACCGACCAGCACACTTCTAATAAGTCGTGCAGGGGTTGGGAACCGAGGCATGAACTTGCCACACG